TTTTTTTTTTTTTTTTTTTTTTTTTTTTTTTTTTTTTTTTTTTTTTTTTTTTTTTTTTTTTTTTTTTTTTTTTTTTTTTTTTTTTTTTTTTTTTTTTTTTTTTTTTTTTTTTTTTTTTTTTTTTTTTTTTTTTTTTTTTTTTTTTTTTTTTTTTTTTTTTTTTTTTTTTTTTTTTTTTTTTTTTTTTTTTTTTTTTTTTTTTTTTTTTTTTTTTTTTTTTTTTTTTTTTTTTTTTTTTTTTTTTTTTTTTTTTTTTTTTTTTTTTTTTTTTTGTACCTTAATTTTCCTTTTCTTTTTCTTTTAAACTCTTTCTCGACATCGTTTATTAATGGAGTTTTCGTGTTGGATGATTAAGATCATTTGCATAATCACGTTTGTCTGTAATCTCGCCGTGTTTTATTCTCTTTGGTCTGTTTTCACCTTTTTGTTTATTATTTTTAGAAGTTATTCCTTTTATTATTTGTTTATTTATTTAATCGTGTAGTTTTTATTCCTCTTCCTTCTCTCCTCTCTGTTTATTTTTTTTTTTTTTTTTTTTTTTTTTTTTTTTTTTTTTTTTTTTTTTTTTTTTTTTTTTTTTTTTTTTTTTTTTTTTTTTTTTTTTTTTTTTTCTTTGTATTTTTTTCTTCTTTCTCGGAGCACTTGAATTGCAATGCAAATGGAGTTGTAGTTTACAACATAGATGTTTATGTAGAGGAATGTCGGTTCATTCAGTATGCTATCCCTGTGTGTTATTTTATGTGGTTATTTTGCATGGTGCTTATGTTTCTAAGGTTATCTTAATGGTAGATTCTTGTATTTCTTACGCTTTCGCACGAATTCTGAATATGTATATATATACTCCAACAGACACATATATTTAAATACGTGCGCACACATACTTACACACATAAACACAAGCTCACACACACGCACACGCACACGCACACGCACACGCACACGCACACACACACGCACACGCACACGCACACGCACACGCACACGCACACGCACACGCACACGCACACGCACACGCACACGCACACGCACACGCACACGCACACGCACACGCACACGCACACGCACACGCACACGCACACGCACACGCACACGCACACGCACACGCACACGCACACGCACACGCACACGCACACGCACACGCACACGCACACGCACACGCACACGCACACGCACACGCACACGCACACGCACACGCACACGCACACGCACACGCACACGCACACGCACACGCACACGCACACGCACACGCACACGCACACGCACACGCACACGCACACGCACACGCACACGCACACGCACACGCACACGCACACGCACACGCACACGCACACGCACACGCACACGCACACGCACACGCACACGCACACGCACACGCACACGCACACGCACACGCACACGCACACGCACACGCACACGCACACGCACACGCACACGCACACGCACACGCACACGCACACGCACACGCACACGCACACGCACACGCACACGCACACGCACACGCACACGCACACGCACACGCACACGCACACGCACACGCACACGCACACGCACACGCACACGCACACGCACACGCACACGCACACGCACACGCACACGCACACGCACACGCACACGCACACGCACCACGCACACTCAACTACGGCAACACGCACACAGCACACATACACACTACACACACACACACACACACACACACACACACACACACACACACACACACACACACACACACACACACACACACACACACACACACTCATACCCCCCCCCCCCCCACACACACACACAAACACACATACCCCCCCCCCCCCCACACACCCACACCCACACCCAAACCCAAAAACAAAGACCAAAAAAATCCTGCCATTCTAACTCTCTCTCTTTCTCTCTCCCCCTCCCTCCCCCACCACAGGCATGGCACATCATGGTGGAGGGCCTCGACGAATGGAGCAACATCATGAGGCAGAATGCAGACACCCTCGTCATAGACACGGTGGAGAAACTGGCCGCCCTCATCACGGAGAAGCGGGCGTCGAGGAAAGTGTACTATGAGGAGCACCAGAGGATTACTAATGAAGTGTCGAGGGTGAGGACCTTTTTTATATATTTTTTTTATTTATTATTGTTATTGGTTTGTATTTTTTTTTTTTTTTTTTAGGTTGGGTGCTAGGGAGGGTGGGGTGGGGGGCTGGGGTGGTTGGTTGGTTGGGTAGTTAATGGGTTGTTTGCGAGTGGGTTTGTTAGATGTTAGGTGTATTCTTTTTTTCTTTTTTTTCTTACCTTCTTTCTTTACTTTTTTTTTTTAAATGGTAGTTATATTTAGTAGTTTGTAAGTGCCAGACTAGCGGACTTTCATAACAAATGAAACCGGCTTAAAAAAAAAAAAAAGGCACACGTATTTATGAAATATCAATAATCCCTAATTACATAACAGTCAATCACTTTACCTCAACTACAGAAGCAGTACTAACGCCACAGTGGCACTTAAACTAATGACTTACACCACTGTCCCGAATTATCGATGTCACAGACGGGTGAATGCCGGATTAGTGAGGTTCTTCCTGTATTTGGGTTCTTTCCTTTCTTTATGTTTTATCTTCTTTTCTATTTATATTGATGATTTTGTGAGTTAGGTTCGGGAATTTGTTTAGAGTTGAGGTCCTCCTGAAATAAAGGATTTGTTTTTAATGAGAGTGAGTTGCCAGAATATCATCACACTATAATAATGATATTAATAGACAGGAATGAGAATCATGTTGGGGTTAAATTTTACTTTCACGAACAGCTTTGAATATTCATGACAGTAGCAGTTGAATATTATAATTTTCTCTCTTTCAGTATTCCTGCATAACTAAATATATTTTTCCTTCTGGTCATTCTAACTCTGTGTTGGTTTACCCCAAACAAAGACTTTTTTTCCCAGACTAAGAACTCATACTTGATAAATATATATATATATATATATATATATATATATATATATATATATATATATATATATATATATATATTTTAAATTTGATCTCATAAAGAATTTGTAAAACCCTCTGGGTCAGGAGTTCATTTTGTAGAGACTAAAACAGTCTAAGTTTGATGTAGTATTCTCACTGAATTAAACATTTTAAGTAAAATTATGAAAAATACGGAATGAAGATTTCCTTCTTGATTTAATGCCTTTCTCTTCACATCAGCAATCACGATAAAATGGCTTTATGATGTTACTCTCATTTCAGTTACAAGAAGCAGTCAACAAGTCAAAAAATAATTATGAACAGGCCCTTGAACACTACAAGAGCTCAAAAACCAAATACGAAGATCAATACCTAAAAGGTAAGATTCCCTTCCTCTTTGGAGATCACTTTGGCTTTTATTTTTATTGTTTTCTCATGCCTTAGAATTGTGTTTCAAATGGATTTTAACATTCCAAAAATATTTTAAATTATTGTATATATATTATTAATAGGAAGCCATGAGAAACTGTAGCCTTATATTATTTAAAGAAATGACGATGAATATACCCTAAATCGAATCCCCAAAATACCCTCTCATCCTCATCCTCATCCCCACCCTCATCCTCATCCTCATCCTCATCCTCACCCTCATCCTCAGCCTCATTCTCACCCTCATCCTTATCCTCACCCTCATCCTCATCCTCATCATCACCCTCATCCTCATCCTCATCCTCATCCTCAGTCTCATCCTCACCCTCATCCTCACCCTCATCCTCATCCTCATCTTCATCCTTAGTCTCATCCTCATTCTCACTCTCATCCTCATCCTCAGTCTCATCCTCATTCTCACTCTAATCCTCACCCTCACCCTCATCCTCATCCTCATCCTCATCCTCATGCTCAGCCACAGTCTCATCCTCATCCACATTCCTCTGTCTGACAAATCACTCATAATGACTTAACTTCCACCCCCCTTTCACAGGCAAACCTGGTCGTAAACTCGATGAACTTAAAGAGAGATATCAAAAAGCGTGCAAGAAACTTCACCAAGTCCACAACGACTACGTCCTCCTGCTCTGTGAAGCTGCAGACTACGAGAGGGACTTTCGGACAGTGCTTTTGCCTGGTCTGCTCGAGTACCAGGAAAGAGTACAGGAAGATATGATTGATAAATGGTAAGTAGTGGAATGAAAGTGAGTATTGGTGTTAAAATGAACTTCTTTGAAAATTGTTTTTGATAGTGAGGGGTATATTATTATTATTATTTTTTTGTTCATGTGTATATTGTTGGGAAACATATACCCATCTTACTGAGAAGTGTTTAAAATGGGAGAATAAATTGTTAGTCATATCTATTATGGAAATTATTTTAAATATATCTTCCTATGAATTATAAGAAACTGGACCTATTATGGATTCAATAAATGCGAGAGAACTTGACTTGCAGAGAAAGAAAATGAATTTGTTGAAAATATAAAAAAATGAAATGGAATGATTAAGAATAAATTTGCCTAAAAAGAATCTATTAAAGATATCTATGCATCCAATTTCCATTATAGTTGTCTCTTCTCTAGCCAGAAAAAAACACCAAAAATACCCTTTTATTATTACAGGCGATCAATATTAGCAGAGGTTTGTGAACTAACGGACACAACCCAGGGCCGATACGCACAGCTCCAGGCAGAAGTGGCATCGGCAGTTTCAGCAATATCCCCCAAGACAGAATATTCCAGTTTTTCAGAGACCAACAAGTAAGTTGTATTTTCCATCTATTTATTTAGTTTTAGTTTTTTTTTCGACCAGTTATTGGTAATTCAAAGAAGTTTTACAATATATAGTTTGAATTTGATTTTGTTTTATGAATTGTACAGTGTATATAATCTAGTAATAAATGCAAGCCATTTTTATTATAATTATTGTAATTTTTTTGCATGCTTTTAATTTTTTCGGTAGAAGAACATTTACTCAAATTAATTTAAATTTGAGTTGCATATTCATAGTATCTATGTAAAGTAAATCTCATAAGTGGTATTATTCTATGGACAGTTCATAAAATAAGTGAGAAAAAGTATCTCATTCTCACTCTAATCCTCACCCTCACCCTCATCCTCATCCTCATCCTCATCCTCATCCTCATCCTCATCCTCATCCTCATCCTCATCCTCATCCTCATCCTCATCCTCATCCTCATCCTCATCCTCATCCTCATCCTCATCCTCATCCTCATCCTCATCCTCATCCTCATCCTCATCCTCATCCTCATCCTCATCCTCATCCTCATCCTCATCCTCATCCTCATCCTCATCCTCATCCTCATCCTCATCCTCATCCTCATCCTCATCCTCATCCTCATCCTCATCCTCATCCTCATCCTCATCCTCATCCTCATCCTCATCCTCATCCTCATCCTCATCCTCATCCTCATCCTCATCCTCATCCTCATCCTCATCCTCATCCTCATCCTCATCCTCATCCTCATCCTCATCCTCATCCTCATCCTCATCCTCATCCTCATCCTCATCCTCATCCTCATCCTCATCCTCATCCTCATCCTCATCCTCATCCTCATCCTCATCCTCATCCTCATCCTCATCCTCATCCTCATCCTCATCCTCATCCTCATCCTCATCCTCATCCTCATCCTCATCCTCATCCTCATCCTCATCCTCATCCTCATCCTCATCCTCATCCTCATCCTCATCCTCATCCTCATCCTCATCCTCATCCTCATCCTCATCCTCATCCTCATCCTCATCCTCATCCTCATCCTCATCCTCATCCTCATCCTCATCCTCATCCTCATCCTCATCCTCATCCTCATCCTCATCCTCATCCTCATCCTCATCCTCATCCTCATCCTCATCCTCATCCTCATCCTCATCCTCATCCTCATCCTCATCCTCATCCTCATCCTCATCCTCATCCTCATCCTCATCCTCATCCTCATCCTCATCCTCATCCTCATCCTCATCCTCATCCTCATCCTCATCCTCATCCTCATCCTCATCCTCATCCTCATCCTCATCCTCATCCTCATCCTCATCCTCATCCTCATCCTCATCCTCATCCTCATCCTCATCCTCATCCTCATCCTCATCCTCATCCTCATCCTCATCCTCATCCTCATCCTCATCCTCATCCTCATCCTCATCCTCATCCTCATCCTCATCCTCATCCTCATCCTCATCCTCATCCTCATCCTCATCCTCATCCTCATCCTCATCCTCATCCTCATCCTCATCCTCATCCTCATCCTCATCCTCATCCTCATCCTCATCCTCATCCTCATCCTCATCCTCATCCTCATCCTCATCCTCATCCTCATCCTCATCCTCATCCTCATCCTCATCCTCATCCTCATCCTCATCCTCATCCTCATCCTCATCCTCATCCTCATCCTCATCCTCATCCTCATCCTCATCCTCATCCTCATCCTCATCCTCATCCTCATCCTCATCCTCATCCTCATCCTCATCCTCATCCTCATCCTCATCCTCATCCTCATCCTCATCCTCATCCTCATCCTCATCCTCATCCTCATCCTCATCCTCATCCTCATCCTCATCCTCATCCTCATCCTCATCCTCATCCTCATCCTCATCCTCATCCTCATCCTCATCCTCATCCTCATCCTCATCCTCATCCTCATCCTCATCCTCATCCTCATCCTCATCCTCATCCTCATCCTCATCCTCATCCTCATCCTCATCCTCATCCTCATCCTCATCCTCATCCTCATCCTCATCCTCATCCTCATCCTCATCCTCATCCTCATCCTCATCCTCATCCTCATCCTCATCCTCATCCTCATCCTCATCCTCATCCTCATCCTCATCCTCATCCTCATCCTCATCCTCATCCTCATCCTCATCCTCATCCTCATCCTCATCCTCATCCTCATCCTCATCCTCATCCTCATCCTCATCCTCATCCTCATCCTCATCCTCATCCTCATCCTCATCCTCATCCTCATCCTCATCCTCATCCTCATCCTCATCCTCATCCTCATCCTCATCCTCATCCTCATCCTCATCCTCATCCTCATCCTCATCCTCATCCTCATCCTCATCCTCATCCTCATCCTCATCCTCATCCTCATCCTCATCCTCATCCTCATCCTCATCCTCATCCTCATCCTCATCCTCATCCTCATCCTCATCCTCATCCTCATCCTCATCCTCATCCTCATCCTCATCCTCATCCTCATCCTCATCCTCATCCTCATCCTCATCCTCATCCTCATCCTCATCCTCATCCTCATCCTCATCCTCATCCTCATCCTCATCCTCATCCTCATCCTCATCCTCATCCTCATCCTCATCCTCATCCTCATCCTCATCCTCATCCTCATCCTCATCCTCATCCTCATCCTCATCCTCATCCTCATCCTCATCCTCATCCTCATCCTCATCCTCATCCTCATCCTCATCCTCATCCTCATCCTCATCCTCATCCTCATCCTCATCCTCATCCTCATCCTCATCCTCATCCTCATCCTCATCCTCATCCTCATCCTCATCCTCATCCTCATCCTCATCCTCATCCTCATCCTCATCCTCATCCTCATCCTCATCCTCATCCTCATCCTCATCCTCATCCTCATCCTCATCCTCATCCTCATCCTCATCCTCATCCTCATCCTCATCCTCATCCTCATCCTCATCCTCATCCTCATCCTCATCCTCATCCTCATCCTCATCCTCATCCTCATCCTCATCCTCATCCTCATCCTCATCCTCATCCTCATCCTCATCCTCATCCTCATCCTCATCCTCATCCTCATCCTCATCCTCATCCTCATCCTCATCCTCATCCTCATCCTCATCCTCATCCTCATCCTCATCCTCATCCTCATCCTCATCCTCATCCTCATCCTCATCCTCATCCTCATCCTCATCCTCATCCTCATCCTCATCCTCATCCTCATCCTCATCCTCATCCTCATCCTCATCCTCATCCTCATCCTCATCCTCATCCTCATCCTCATCCTCATCCTCATCCTCATCCTCATCCTCATCCTCATCCTCATCCTCATCCTCATCCTCATCCTCATCCTCATCCTCATCCTCATCCTCATCCTCATCCTCATCCTCATCCTCATCCTCATCCTCATCCTCATCCTCATCCTCATCCTCATCCTCATCCTCATCCTCATCCTCATCCTCATCCTCATCCTCATCCTCATCCTCATCCTCATCCTCATCCTCATCCTCATCCTCATCCTCATCCTCATCCTCATCCTCATCCTCATCCTCATCCTCATCCTCATCCTCATCCTCATCCTCATCCTCATCCTCATCCTCATCCTCATCCTCATCCTCATCCTCATCCTCATCCTCATCCTCATCCTCATCCTCATCCTCATCCTCATCCTCATCCTCATCCTCATCCTCATCCTCATCCTCATCCTCATCCTCATCCTCATCCTCATCCTCATCCTCATCCTCATCCTCATCCTCATCCTCATCCTCATCCTCATCCTCATCCTCATCCTCATCCTCATCCTCATCCTCATCCTCATCCTCATCCTCATCCTCATCCTCATCCTCATCCTCATCCTCATCCTCATCCTCATCCTCATCCTCATCCTCATCCTCATCCTCATCCTCATCCTCATCCTCATCCTCATCCTCATCCTCACTCTGAGCAACATGGACCAGTTGAGACAGAAATCTAGATATATCTTTCCCTTTCTATGCTGTCTTCAGGAGCATGCTGCCTGATCCCGTCTCGTTCGCTTTCTGCAAGGAACTTTTAGGGTTAGCATAATGTAGGAGAGTCAGATCTTCATTTTCACATCAGGGTTTCCTTTTTGAATAAGAAATAAAGATAAAATGATTTTGATGTTCTTCGAGAAAAGTTCCGCTGATGGTGCCTTTTGTATTAATGTATTGAGTATTTTGAAAATGATATCTGACTTTAAAAAAATGTGTGGTTTCCCCCTTACTTGAATACAGAAAAACCATGCCCCTCCTCCCTTTAGAATGAAAAATGAAGATCATACGTGGAACAACCCTGTGAAAAAAAAATGGCAGGTTTCCCAAATAAGAATGTATCTAAAAAGTATTTTTCCCTTCCAGGAGTTCGCCCCCAGATCCTGTATCCTTTGAGTTCTGCAATGAACTTTTGGGAGATGGCGTAGGATCTCTCCAGGCAGGTCAGCTGGCCGTAGACTCACTCACCGTAGACTCCTTACGCCTACGGCTCAATGACATCGAGCACAGCTTACGCGAGGTCACGACGCAGCTCCGAGAGAAACAGAATCTCCTCAACCAGCACGAGACTGAAGTTGTTAATATCAAGACAAATTCTCTGCAAGACAGTAACATTGCCTCAAGGTAGTTTTAATTGATTTTTAAACAAATTTTGTAGAAATCCAACAAAATGTAATTATCAGTTGGTCTTTAATTCATCAGTTTCTTTTTATTTATATGATTAGTGGAAGAAGTTTGTAGATCATTAGTCCACTAGATTTCATAAAGGATTTGACATTTTCTTTTTAATTCACAATTTGGATCTTTGAATAATATCTTACATATATCTTTAACCACATTCAGTACCCCTACAATTTAGTTAAAGAGTGAATATTACCCTCTCATCTTTTTTCATAATTTTCCCACCCAGATCTATTGTGTCTTACATTTTTTTTCATAATTTTTTTTTTTCTCTATCTCTTCATCAGGTTACCAGTTCTAAAAAGGGCAAGTGATGTGTTACGCCGTGAACTGAATGAATTGCGATGTCGTGAGTCGTGGCTACAGCACCAACACCGCCTCATCCATGACCCCCTGGCAGCTCTGGGGTGTGAGGAAGCCCCCCAGCCGTGGGAAGCAACACAAGTTAATGGGGACTCGGTAAGGAACGCTCGTGGAATTTTACTCTATGAAGATGTGTTATTTTTGGGGTTCGTGTTAAGGGAAAGGGTAATGATAATTTTTTTCTCCTTCTTTTAATGGAATAGTGTTATGTTTGTGGTATTTATTTGAAGATAACTTTTTATCTTTACTCTTTTTGAATGATATTGAATAAATGCAGATCAAAAAGAAATTAGAATAACTGTTTCATATTTAAAATGTGGTTTAAAATTACTGTGAGCATTGTGAAAGTCCAAAATTGTGAACTTTTTAAATGTTTTTATTTCATGTCTATTTTCTTCATACTCACACCCATTGGCATACATAAACACCCACTGACATGCACTGGAAAAAGACATCAAATTGAACATTCACTTCTTGTATCTGTCTTTTTTCTCTATCATATATTAATTTGATTTATAAACTCCTTCATGTACTATCATTTTGATGTTACTTACTGTCATTTCAATGTTACATTTTGCTTCTCTTTTGCTAATTTACCATAAGAATCACAAGTAACCAAGACTAGGATGTTGTTCATATAATTCAGCCATGCTGAACTTAACAAACAGTTTAATCAGTGAAAAGCAATTGTCCCATATTATTCATTTCTGTGAAAATCTTGTAATTGGTCTCACATTCTGCAAACAAGCATGATTTATTAACATATAGTTTCTGAATCTGTAGTTGACAGTCTTGCAATAAAATCCTATAACACAGCTTTGTTATCATTACAGGGCTACCGTTCTAGGTCATTACTGTCTTTGAACTTTGCGGTATGTAACACCTCGAAAGACACTGTAGCTTCTGTATCACTTACGTTGTTTGTTGCGTCAGTCTGTGGTGGTGTAGTACCTCTGTTCACTCTGGGATTGTTGCTATAGATCTAGTTCTAGTAATCTAATTGTATTTTCATAACAGTTTCCTTCTAAAGTCCTTATATGTTTTATGAACCCTGACATTTGTTTTGTTTTTTTGTTTTTAATTATTTTTCTTTTTTGATAAATGTTCTGTTGAGTATTAGTTTTATTTATTTATTTGTTTATTTGTCACTCTAATAAGATTTGCCTTCAAGACGACCATGCTCATTCATCATCATCTTGTATGCAAATACTCTGAGATGTCACTTATTTCCATATAATATCCATTTGGTTTGCACTTTTTTTTATTTTTTATCTCCACTGATAAAACAACATTGCTCTCCATTCACTTCAGATTCACTCATTGCAAATGCTTTTGTTGCAGGGCCTCAGGTCCAATTCCATTCTCGCTCTCAATTTTCTGGTATGTAACCAATGGTGCTCTATAAACCCTCCCTTTAAACTACCTCCTTTTGGTAAATCCATTGTATTTTGAGAACTTTTTGTTATTGTTATTCTGGTTTTGATAGTGCTCAGGAAATTTGGCATAGGCTAGGGCCATTCCTCTCATAAAGAAAGAATAATCAGAGTGTCATATTTAGGTATCATTTCCCTACTTTGGGGGAAAGGCAGGTTTGGTATTCATCAAAAGAATATAATCAAGTGGAAATTATTTACAGGAAATAGGCCAAATTTGTAAGCCAGAAAAGTAATACAGATAGTCCCCTACTTAAGAACATTCATACATACAAACAAAATTTTTTAAGTACTAAAGTCCAAAAAATTGTTTGAAAGATGCTAGCAAACTTCAAATTTCCCGGGCATGAATATAGTTCAAGAGTCTGGTACTGTATAAGGTATGTCGTACTTATTGGGATTTATTTACAGGTATTCTTAATGTAAACAAAACTTTAAAACAATGGGAAAAAAGGTAATGGAGACCCGACTTTCGACATACAAACAAATCAATTTACAAACAGCCTCTCGGTCCCCATTATGTTCTTAAGTTGGGGACTTACTGTATATGCATAATGTCGTGAACTCAATTTTCATTCATAGACAAGATCAAGAGGATTTGAAAAAATTACAGCTAATGAGAACTGGAAATTGATAGTTTGGAAAAGGCATTTACACCAATGAAGATGTTGCTGTTTATGGCATTAACTGTATTTGATAGCATGATGATCTATACGTTCTTTAAATGTATTCTTTGAAGTGCCAGCTGTAGCCATATTGCAGACACTAGTTTTCCATATAATATAGTCAGCTATAGGATATTAGAGATTGCTATGGTGAATGAGGCTATGGTCTTAGAGTGTTTTTAAAATTGAATATCTTCCCATGCACAGAAAATTGTAAAATAGATAAACTGAATTTTGGGAAGAAGAAAATGACGATCTCCCTTGCTATTTTATTGTGAAAATTGCAGCAAATCCTTAAATGTCTCTCTGTTACATACTTTTTTTTTTTTTTTTTTTTTTTTTTTTTACATTCTTTCTCTTATGGCTTTAGCTGATAGCCTATTTATCTAAACTGATATTTTTCAATCACTATTACACCGGTTCGATTGATGGTATGGTGGTTTAAAATGAGATTAAATGTTGTTTTGTTACTCCTGCAAAATAAATGCCTTAAATAGTGTAGAATTGTTTTGTCTTTTGTCACTTTAGGATTTCATTTCTCCTTCAGGTTTTATCCTTCATACTTCATGTTGTGTCATGAAACTTTATCTTTCTGTCATGCAGGCTTTTTCTTTTATTTGTAAATTGTTTTGCTTATTAATCAGAATACTAATGGTTATAAATATGTTCTGTACTTAATATCTGTTTTAGTAAACCTCTAATTTTGCAGACTAACTGAGTGTGAAAGATTTGCTTTCTCTCTCTCTCTCTCTCTCTCTCTCTCTCTCTCTCTCTCTCTCTCTCTCTCTCTCTCTCTCTCTCTCTCTCTCTCTCTCTCTTTCTCTCTTTCTCTTTCTCTTTCTCTCTCTCTTCTCCTCTCTTTTCTCTCTCTCTCACTTTCTCACTCTCTCTCTCTCTCTCTCTCTCTCTCTCTCTCTCTCTCTCTCTCTCTCTCTCTCTCTCTCTCTCTCTCTCTCTCTCTCTCTCTCCCTCTTTCCCTCTCTTTCTCTCTCTCAATATCTTACAGTTGTGTTTTTACCCATTATTTGCATGAGAATTTATATTTTTACCTTTTGCTTTTATATTTTTTACCTTTTTCTATGAGAGTTCTGGAAATATTGGATATTGTTTTACAATATCTTATTTTATCAGGTATCTCAAATATTTTCCTTTATTCTTCTTCTGCATAAATTAATCAGTTAAAAAAGATATAAGTTAATAGAACGGTAATCAATGCTGATTTTATTACCCCCCTTTGCTGACAGAGCTTTACCGTCGAGCACTCCAAACCAACACCTTACTCGAACATGTATTTTCCTCCACGCAGCACCAACGCTCGGACTCCCTCTCCCTGAAGTCCCGATCGGCAGCAATAAAGGAACTCTTACGGAAGCCTTTCAATCGAAGTAAGACGAGCGACTCCCAAGCCTCCACGCCTCCCACCCCGACAAGAGCCAACACGGAAGAGAGAGCCACAGAACCCGACCAACACTCGCTTTTGGAAATGACGCCCGGTGGTCAGGCCGAAGTCCCGCAGGCTGTTAATGGGGTGCAGGAACTGGTCAGTGTGGTGGTAATTTTTTTATTTTTTTACATTCTTTCTCTTATGGCTTTAGCTGATAGCCTATTTATCTAAACTGATATTTTTCAATCACTATTACACCGGTTCGATTGATGGTATGGTGGTTTAAAATGAGATTAAATGTTGTTTTGTTACTCCTGCAAAATAAATGCCTTAAATAGTGTAGAATTGTTTTGTCTTTTGTCACTTTAGGATTTAATTTCTCCTTCAGGTTTTATCCTTCATACTTCATGTTGTGTCATGAAACTTTATCTTTCTGTCATGCAGGCTTTTTCTTTTATTTGTAAATTGTTTTGCTTATTAATCAGAATACTAATGGTTATAAATATGTTCTGTACTTAATATCTGTTTTAGTAAACCTCTAATTTTGCAGACTAACTGAGTGTGAAAGATTTGCTTTCTCTCTCTCTCTCTTTCTCTCTTTCTCTCTTCTCTCTCTCAATATCTTACAGTTGTGTTTTTACCCATTATTTGCATGAGAATTTATATTTTTACCTTAATATCTTATTTTATCAGGTATCTCAAATATTTCCTTTATTCTTCTTCTGCATAAATTAATCAGTTAAAAAAGATATAAGTTAATAGAACGGTAATCAATGCTGATTTTATTACCCCCCTTTGCTGACGAGCTTTACCGCGAGCACTCCAAACCAACACCTTACTCGAACATGTATTTTCCTCCACGCAGCACCACGCTCGGACTCCCTCTCCCTGAAGTCCCGATCGGCAGCAATAAAGGAACTCTTACGGAAGCCTTTCAATCGAAGTTAAGACGAGCGACTCCCAAGCCTCCACGCCTCCCACCCGACATAGAGCCAACACGGAAGAGAGAGCCACAGAACCCGACCAACACTCGCTTTTGGAAATGACGCCTGGTGGTCAGGCCGAAGTCCCGCAGGCTGTTAATGGGGTGCAGGAACTGGTCAGTGTGGTGGTAATTTTTTTATTTTTTTAAATCTTTAAATTCTTTTATTTTATTTGTTTATTTGTTTATTAGATATAATATTCAGTTTTTTTTCCATACATTCATGGCCAAGATTTGTAATATATTATTAGGGATATCTGTTTATGTATTTAGAATTTTTTTTGTTTGTTTTTCTAAGCTTCTATAGTGATTTTATTTGATAATTTTTTATTAAGACTGTATTTCCTCCTTTACTGTATGCTTTAAAAGGTATTTATATACTTTCTTTTCTTCATGAATAGAAAATGGTTGCTCTCCAATATGTATTTAATTTTCGGACGACCCCACAGACATATGACCCAGACCGATGCCTAGAGGACGAGCCTTGGTTCCACGGTGTGCTGCCCAGGGAGGAAGTTGTTCGGCTCCTGGTCAACGAAGGGGACTACCTTGTGAGGGAAACAACGCGGAATGACGAGCAGCAGATCGTTCTCTCTGTGTGTTGGGGCTCTCACAAGCATTTCATCGTGCAGACAACCCCTGAAGTAAGACGTGGTGCCAAGTATATGAGTGGTTTAGAATGTATCCCGGTCAGTTTATAAGTTCTTTTACACTAAACTCCATTGATCCTACAAATGCTGGTCTGGCAGTTTTAATAGTTTATGGATGTGGCCAGCTATAGCATAATTTCTTTTATATGTTTATGTACAAGTGGAGAGAATGAAAGATTTTTGTATAGATTATATTTTTTAATTAATCAAAGACTTGTATATAATTTCAACTATAATATCTTTATTCAGTCATATATGTTTTGAAAATAGATGACCTTGATGTTTCTTTCTTTTTTAATAGTTTGTCAATTTGATCCTTAATCTTCCTGAAAGAATCTAAGTAATGATTTCTTGTTTCTCTCAGTTTTCCCTAAGGATTTCCCCTCTTTTTAATTTTTTCTTTTCTTTTCTCCTCCGAAGGGACATTATCGCTTTGAAGGACCAGCTTTCCCAACGATCCAGGAACTGATTCTGCACCAGCATGGATGTGGACTGCCGGTCACGAACAAGTCAGGTGCTATTCTCCGCAACCCCATATTCAGAGAGAGATGGGAACTGAACAACGACGATGTGGAATTACGGGATAAGATAGGCAGGGTAAGTGATTCTCTTTCTGTTTCCGCTTTTTCTTTCTCTTTCGTAATATCTGTAAGTGATTTTCATTCGGTTTCCTCTTTTCCTTCTGTTTTGTAATACCTGTAAGTGATTTTCATTTGGTTTCCTCTTTTCCTTCTGTTTTGTAATACCTGTAAGTGATTTTCATTCGGTTTCCTCTTTTCCTTCTCTTTCGTAATATTTGTAAGTGATTTTCTTTCTGTTTCCTCTTTTCCTTCTCTTTTGTGATACATGATTTGAAGGAGTTTTTCTATATCGCAGCTTTGCCTTTCACATAAGGAATCTAATGTATCATGTGTCTTCTCTTTATGGAATTACTGAAGGATGTTGGAGGTAAGGTAATGGTGATGTGTATCTGTGAGATTCAGAATTTTTAAAATTATTATTATTATATGCTATAAACCTTTGTGTTTGTACAGATCTGTAATGTTATAGTTTATTTGTCATGCTATAAATTCGTTCTAAAGGTACGTTATGGTGGTCTTTCAACAGGGTAACTTTGGCGATGTGTATAAAGCGCGCTTACGGGATTCAGGACTGGAGGTGGCTGTCAAGACATGCCGAGTGACGTTGCCGGATGAACAGAAAAAGAAATTCTTGCAAGAAGGACGCATTTTGAAGCAATATGATCACCCAAACATTGTCAAGTTTATTGGCATTTGCGTTCAGAAACAGCCTATTATGATTGTCATGGAATTGGTGCCTGGTCAGTGTCTATAATCTCTTTACCAAGATCTTTATAACTCATGCATAATATTTGTAAATATATCAAAGTAATTTTCATAAGATAGCAAAAAAAAAAATCCTCTTTGTAATATGGTACTAATGTTATAATTAACTGTATAAAAAATGGAATCAAATCAGAGAACATGACACAATTTCTTAACATTCAAGTCAACCAAATCACATTTCCAAATAGACATGAAAACCACTTCTCTTTAATCCCTCCATAGGTGGCTCTCTGCTGAGTTTTGTGCGGAACCATAAGGGTCAGCTGACGGTGAAGCAGATGATGGGAATGTGCCTCGACACTGCTTCAGGCATGGCTTACCTCGAGTCAAAGAACTGCATTCATAGAGACTTGGCGGCAAGGAACTGTCTTGTGGGTCGGTGTCTGGGAGAATTTTCTCTTGGGGTCTTGTTTATCTCGTGATATTTGGTGTTGTTTGTTGTCTTAAACAAGATCAATACCTCATATATCATTTCCCATGAGGCATATACCTAACATAATTTCTTCTTGGAACAGTTTAGCATGAAATAAATATCAGTTAATTTTTTAAATTTTGTGTACTAAAAGAGACAATCTTCTTTTTCAGGTCATCGGAGCATTGTCAAGATTTCAGATTTTGGTATGTCAAGAGAAGAAGAAGAATACATTGTCAGCGACGGCATGAAACAGATTCCAATCAAGTGGACGGCCCCTGAAGCTCTGAATTTTGGTTTGTCTCTCTAGTTTATGTCTTGTTTAATCATGTGTACATGGTCTTGTATGAGTTCTGTGCATGATTATTACAGAATGTTTGATGTACTTTTTAAATTCCTTAGAACTGGGATGAATAGGCCAGTACATGAAGACAATATATGCATAAAAAAAAAAATCCTCTTTGTAATATGGTACTAATGTTATAATTAACTGTATAAAAAATGGAATCAAATCAGAGAACATGACACAATTTCTTAACATTCAAGTCAACCAAATCACATTTCCAAATAGACATGAAAACCACTTCTCTTTAATCCCTCCATAGGTGGCTCTCTGCTGAGTTTTGTGCGGAACCATAAGGGTCAGCTGACGGTGAAGCAGATGATGGGAATGTGCCTCGACACTGCTTCAGGCATGGCTTACCTCGAGTCAAAGAACTGCATTCATAGAGACTTGGCGGCAAGGAACTGTCTTGTGGGTCGGTGTCTGGGAGAATTTTCTCTTGGGGTCTTGTTTATCTCGTGATATTTGGTGTTGTTTGTTGTCTTAAACAAGATCAATACCTCATATATCATTTCCCATGAGGCATATACCTAACATAATTTCTTCTTGGAACAGTTTAGCATGAAATAAATATCAGTTAATTTTTTAAATTTTGTGTACTACAAGAGGACACATCTTCTTTTTCAGGTCATCGGAGCATTGTCAAGATTTTCAGATTTTGAGTATGTCAAGAGAAGAAGAAGAATACATTGTCAGCGACGGCATGAACAGATTCCAATCAAGTGGACGGCCCCTGAAGCTCTGAATTTTGGTTTGTCTCTCTAGTTTATGTCTTGTTTAATCATGTGTACATGGTCTTGTATGAGTTCTGTGCATGATTATTACAGAATGTTTGATGTACTTTTTAAATTCCTTAGAACTGGGATGAATAGGCCAGTACATGAAGACAATATATGCATAAAAAAAAAAATCCCTGTTTTTTCCATCACTGATTCAAAACTTTATCTTCATCTAAACAGGCAAGTACACATCACTGTGTGATGTGTGGAGCTATGGTGTGCTATGCTGGGAAATCTTTTCTTCAGGAGAGGTTCCTTATCAGGGTTATTCCAACACAAAGGCTCGAGAGATGATTGATTCAGGTAAAAGATTGTTAAATTTGTTAGATTTGATTGTTAAAGAATTTGTGATGTGGAAAGTGCAGTAACAGTGAGCTGTATTATCAATGTATTCATTTTAAAAGTATCTAAGAAGAGTATGAATATGTTATATAAACATATTGTTTTGTGAGAACATTTCATCCTTATTGGTATCTTTCTTTCTTTCTTTCTTTTTTATTTTATATATTTCATGGGCTTACTCAAGCAAGTATCTCTTCTTCCAGGTTACAGGATGTTGGCACCACCCAACACCCCAGAGGAAATGTACCAGCTGATGCTAAAGTGCTGGCAGTACGAACCGGAAAACAGGCCGCACTTCTCGGATATTTATGCTGCTGTCGATAGTATATATGCCCCATTATAGTGACGTGCTTTTTTTGGTAATAGTAAGATGAATAAGGATCCATTATATTAATGTATTTTGTTATTCAAGATTCTCCCTCTTTTTCCTGTCTTTATTCAGGATGGAAAAAAAAACTGTAGTAATGCTCTTCTGTTTTGCCCTTAATGAATATGTATCTGTAAGAACAGATTTTTGCATGTGGAGGCTTAGTGATTGCAAGGGAAGTACATATCAATCTTTATGGCAATGTATATTATGATGATGTAATAAACAAAGAATTGTCATGAAAAAGTAATATTCACATGATGTTAACATTTTAGCAGTAATATACTTTGATAAAATGAATAAATATGTTTATTTCTTGGTTTGAAGATACTTAATGCAATATATATATATGTATTTTTTTTTTTCATTGATGCACAATAAGGTAAATCTTATTATGTATGTACTTGTTAATGGTATTTAATTTGAAGAGTTTGTATTCACAGTGTTTGAACATTTCAAAATGTTCTTTTAAATCTGGTTCTTAGTACTACCTAGTAAATAATGATAATAACAATGATAATAGAAATAGTGATAATGATAATAATAATAATATTTGTAATGATAATAATAATATTAATGATAATAATGATAATAATAATATTAATGATAATAATGATAATAATAATATTCATGATAATAATGATAATAATAATATTAATGATAATAATGATAATAATAATATTAATGATAATAATGATAATAATAATATTAATGATAATAATGATAATAATAATATTAATGATAATAATGATAATAATAATATTAATGATAATAATGATAATAATAATATTAATGATAATAATGATAATAATAATATTAATGATAATAATGATAATAATAATATTAATGATAATAATGATAATAATAATATTAATGATAATAATGATAATAATAATATTAATGATAATAATGATAATAATAATATTAATGATAATAATGATAATAATAATATTAATGATAATAATGATAATAATAATATTAATGATAATAATGATAATAATAATATTAATGATAATAATGATAATAATAATATTAATGATAATAATGATAATAATAATATTAATGATAATAATGATAATAATAATATTAATGATAATAATGATAATAATAATATTAATGATAATAATGATAATAATAATATTAATGATAATAATGATAATAATAATATTAATGATAATAATGATAATAATAATATTAATGATAATAATGATAATAATAATATTAATGATAATAATGATAATAATAATATTAATGATAATAATGATAATAATAATATTAATGATAATAATGATAATAATAATATTAATGATAATAATGATAATAATAATATTAATGATAATAATGATAATAATAATATTAATGATGATAATAATAATGATAATAATAATGATGATAATAAAAATAATAATCTTAATGATACTAATGAAAATAATAATCTTAATGATAATAATGATAATAACAATGATAATAGAAATAGTAATAATGATAATAATAATAATATTTGTAATGATAATAATAATATTAATGATAATAATGATAATAATAAAGTTATAGTTTATTTAAGCATTCATTTATGAAACTATTTCTG